GAAAGCGCTCACTTTTCTTTTGTCTCAGGGTTGCTGGTTGCGGGGACTTGCCCACAGGTTTTACTTTTCCGTTTCTCTAATATCCAGCACCCCATGCACCTTGTGTCTGCATTCCGGGTGCGGATTTCTAGAGCTGGTTGTTTAGCAGTCCTGGACTTTCACTCCCTCCCCATTCTGACTCCTTTCTTCCCGCCTGGTTCTGGGGTGGGGGAGCATTTGGGTCCTGCCTGGCCACGCCTTGTATCTTACCCCCTTCGTGTGATGTTCATTTCACACAGATGTAGATGTATCGTGGCTGTTGTACTGCATCCACTGATGTCTCTTTTAGGAATAGTTGTATTTATTGTATTTTCATAAATATATATGTTTTTGGGAGGAGATTTCCTCTGAACTACTCATGCCACCATCTTTCCGTGATCCCTGTATCTTACCCTTTTAACAAGATGCTGAGTTCTCGCAGATGTAGATGTCGCCTGGCTGTTGTATTGTATCTTCTGGGCTCGAATAGCTGTATTTGCTGTAGTTTCAAAATATATATGGTTTGGGGAGATTTCCACCACCCTACTCACATTGCCATCTTGAGAATCTCCTCTTCACTGCTGAATTTTATCAAACATTTAGTGAATACCTAATACCCAACCTCCTTAAAGTTTTCCAAAAAGTAGAAGAAGAGGGAATACTCCCAAGCTCATTCTCTGAGGCCAGCATCACTCTAATACCAAAACCAGGTAAAGCATCACAAGAAAAAGAAGATTACAGACCAATATCCCCAGTTTGGGTCAGGCCGTTAAACACTACAATAGGACATCTGGAGCCATGTGTAGCTAAGAGCTTTGCCATGAAGTTTAAATTTGTCACTGAGAAAGAGGGCACCTGCTTTGACAGGAAGCTCTATCCTGGCCTCGCAAACAGCAATACAGTTTAAAGAGGTGAGATGTTTACCAAAAGCCATATCCTAAGGCTTGGTATGGGGAATTCCTCAGGTTACAATTTTAGGGTTGGATAATCTTAGCCTAACCTTGTTCTTATAGAGCAAATGAAAAGAAAATGAACTATCCAAGAATCTAAATTGAAATGCAAATAACAGTCAGTTGTTACTCTGAGTAGCATGTTACTCTGTCCTGGAAAAGTTACCAAGCTCCTCCTTCCCACATTCCTCACCTAACTTTTTTTCACCATTTCTGATCAGGACAAATAACAAAAAAAGAAATCCAAAGAAGCCATTCTACTGCTGGGTAGCAGCCTCTGCATAAGGCATGATGAGGAAGAATGACACTCGGTTCCCCCTTCCCCCAGCTACTGGTGCAGTGGGATTTCATTAATTAGGGTCTCCTGTCCCATATGCAGGACTGTAGGATTATTCAGAACTGACAGCAAAGTGGAAGCAGTCCTGTGGTGTTTTAACACCCCTCACCTCTCCCCTCCCCATCCTGCTGAAAGGGCCCCTAAGGACTAAATCTGGATCATGTCTCTAGGCCAGATACCATGGAACTGTGATTCTTTAAGATAATAGATTGTCGAGAAATTACGGTTGGTTTCCTTTCTTTTTTCATAGAAAAGCAAGCTTGCAGGGGGTGGGTACAAAAACATATACCTTTTCGGGTATAGTCTTGAAGCTCTCAGAGCAGCAGAACAGCCCTTGTCCAGGTTCCACTAACTCCCTTGGACCCACAGCACTAACACCTAAGCCCTCAACTATTTCTCCTCCATGGCCTTTGGGCTCACAGGCTCTCAGGAAGCTGCTTCTTTCTCATCTCCTCATCGCTGCTTGATGGCATCACTACTTTTTCAGTCCCCTTTGGCCAAGAAAGTACAGTTCCTATTCAAGCAGGTTTGGGTGACCATGTCCTTTAGTCTAGCAGTGAAGGAATCACCTGAATTGGCTCTGCTTTGGTTAATAGCAAATCACATGACACCAGTTAGAGAAACCCCAGCTACACTTTTCTGAGATAATGTGAGTCCCTCCTTGAACAGAGTAAGCTACAAGTTTGAGGAAGCAAGAAACAAACAAACCCAAAGTACCACTGACTTGGAGTTTTCCAGGTAGTGAGTCTTTAGCAATCCTCGCCGGCCTTATTTGCCACCTCTTGGCCTCCTCATTACTCATAAACACCTCCAGGCAGTGAGGGGGAACACTCCAGTGACATAATTAAAGGAGGCATTATTTCCGAAGTAGAGACTGAGTCCTCTGTGTACACCAATGAATCAGAATGCAGGAAGCAGACAGCTGCCTCTGCAGGCTTCTTTGAGTTCTGCTAAGTTCTGATTTCTGATACCTAAGTGTCTTGCCAATGGGTTCAGTCCCTGGCAAGTTCACTATAGATTCAATGTGACCAAAGAAATTGACAGCAAAACATTCTTGGGGTGAAAGGGTTATTCCCAACTTTATTCCCAGGTGGCAGGTCAGTCACTAAAGTTCTGTTCACTCAGAGTGTGTCTGCATGTAGCAAGTCAGTCTCTGCCTCTGGGCCTCTCTGCCTGCACACCCATCCTCTGGGCCTCTTTGCCTGCACACTCATCCCACACAGCGGTCCCCTGGGCCACTCTGCACAGTTGTCACACACAGCCATCCCACGGGCCTCTGTCCTCAGCGCTGCCACCACTCCAGCCTCTGCTCTGCTCTCCTGCAGCCTTGCAGCTGTGCCACCGTGTTGCACCCAGAACACTGGGAAGAGCTCTTCATATAGAGTCAACAGTCATCTTTGCCCACAGGTGTGCAGTGAACTCGTCAACCAGGGCCAGGTGAGAATCCTGGCTGCAGGAACTCTCATTTTATCCACATTAAGGCTGCTAAGTGATAACTTAACTCTCTCAAAAATTTAGTATTTTATGTACTTATACATAGGTTTCCAGGGTGGCTTGGCCAAAGATGGCAGTATGAAAAACAAATCACCAGATCCTTGCTTTGAGATTTGTCATCTCTCATTTGAGTGGATATCCTTTCTAAGACTTGAGTACTGTTAGAAAAGAGTGACTGACACAGGAAGTGTCATCTTGGATTATATATATATATATAACCTCAAAACCACCCGAGTCAGAAGCTCCTCTGTACTCATATTCCACCCAGACCACAAGATCCTTTGTCAATCACTCTTACTAATAATACCAAGATCTCTCTCTTTAGAAATGAACTTCAGCATGAATCCTCTCCCTGCTTAAAGAAGCAGATATACTTGGTCACTTTGGTAGAACTTGGTAACAATGCCAATGAGTATCAGTGATTCTACAGCCAAGCCACAAAGGACAGCATCAGAAACTACCTTCACTAGTTTGCAGAGATAAGATTGAGAAGTTGCACCTATCTGGGTGCCCGGAGATGGAATGAATGCCTCAGGAGGCAGTTTAAGTGCCACATCATTGGTGGGATATGCAACCTGGACTGCCACTTGGGGAAATAAGGTGGCCTAGATTAGATGTAAGGTCTCTTCTCATCTGAGAGCCGGTGAACTGAAATAATGCTATTGAGCTCAATGGGTTATAAAATTGTCTGGTTGGTTTATGGGCTTGAAGATCAGATCACAGACCTCATCCAGATCCTGGGAGTTGGGAGATGACATAAAGGTTTTAATTAAAATAACTCGTAAAGTGACCAGAGGATGTTTTAAAATAGCCAGTAATCATGCACTAAAGTGTCCAGGAAGAGCTAAAAGTTTGAAAAATGGAATTTCATGAAAACAAACAATAAAAGACACCAATGCATCAAAAAATAAACATCTCTAGCCTGTCAGCCATCCTGTGTAATCAGAGTACCTTGCCCTAGTGTTTATCACTAGGGTCGCTGAACAAAAATCTCTCTCCAACTCGTTTGCCTCTGAATTATATATAGATTAGTTTCCCTGCAATGATGGCATGTCATTATTTTTTGAATGTCCAGAAAGAAATGTTCTGTCTGTCCTGTGAAGCTCTCTGTGTGCTGAGCCATGCTTGCCCGCCTGTGGAGCTGGCAGAGCCCCCCTGTCCGCCCTCCATCCTCTAGGTGCTGCCTCTGTAGATCTAGCCTCTGTGCCCAACATTAACCAGTAGCGGCTCTGTTTAATCAATAACCTGGCCTCCTGCTCCGGGCTGATAATTTGCCAGCAAGCTCAAAATTCCCTGATTATCAATGGTACCTATGTAGAGATATTTTCCAGAGGGCAATTAGTAACCTGTGTGGGGGACAGAGCACTGAGGTAGTCTGGAGATGTGGCTTTAGTTTCTACTTCATCTGAGGTCTACTTCATCTGAGGGGTGAGTTTCTACTTCATCCCAAGGTCAAAGTTATTTCATGTGTATGTCTCACTAGTTTGCAGAGATAAAATTGAGAAGTTGTACCTATCTGGGTGCCCTATGAAAAGACTGGGACTGTGAATAGACTTTAATTTGGTCTGTTAGAATATAATGAAACAGTCAAAGTAGTTAGATCCTGTTCTCCGAGTCTATTAAAGACCTCTATGATGAAATGGCATCTACTTTCTGATCTGAATCTATTCTCCAGTTCTTACAGAGCCAGACATCCCAGTTATAAATTCCATTGCAAAGTTGGGAAGGGCCTGGAAGATGGGCATCTCTGAGGCTCTCAGGCTGGGCCCTGGGCTGCCCACTGTACACTCCCCACACACAGACACACACACTCTGAGAACCATAAGATGGCTGATGAGTCTCACACTGGTTCATTTGTTCCAGCCAGAAACCACCTGTTTTCCTATTTCTTTTGAATCATGGTCAGAGAAGCTGTGGTTAAGGTCTCACAGCTAGTATTGATGGGGCTGAAGAAGAGGACCCAGATCAGTGCTGTGAAGCAATTCCCACAAAACTTATGACCCCCCGAAGCACTTCCATCTCACCATGCCTCAAAGAAGGCACAATTGAATGGACCAAAAAAAAAAATCACTGACAAACTTGCAGCATTGAGAAAAAGAATTAGGTTGTCTTCTCTCTGAAAAAGTCAATGCAACCCTTTAATGTCCATGGATTTCCACTTTTTTTCCTACTTGAAACAAGGCCAATTTAATAAACAAAAGTCAGACAAAATACATTTATTTAATAAACAAAATACATTGGTGAGGGAATACAGGTGTGTTTCCATAATAACTTGTTTTGGCACATGCTGCCTGCTGTGAGTGGCTCATAAGAACCTGGGTGGGGTATACAGAGAAAGGCTTTAGATCTTTTCACAAATTTCTTAGGATAGAGTTGCCCAAAGGTGATGATGACTCAAGCCACTGCTGAATTCGGTTTTTGCAGTTTTCAGAAAATACCCTATCTAACCAGTTTCTTTTTACTACGTGCATTATATGTGTGTGTGTGTGCATGCATATTTGATAAATACACATACATACCAATTCCCCTTTTCATAAAATTTCCCCAAAAGTTAAAAACAAAAAACACAAAACCCAACAGCTAAATACTATGACATCCCAATTAGTAAACACAAAACAAAACGCTTTACAAAAATGAATAAAATATACCATATGCACTCAGCTTCCACACGGTAGTACCCAAGTGAGGAGGCTGCTGGGATGATGTCTGTAGTGGCGGCCAGCTCAGCGGAATTGCCATTCTCAGTTATTAAGTTACGTGTAAGACACGTGTGACCCACTGGATATTTGTGAAGTGACGCTCGTGCTTCTGCTCATGCCCTGTTCGGTCCATCCCCCAGCAGCTGTCCGCCTCAGAGCCTGAGGGCCATTGCCAACTCCCATACTGCTACCTCGGGGTACCCAATGCATTGGCGCGGAATGGTGACCTCCATGACTGGGGGCCCACCTTGCACTGGATGGCCGCAGGCTTGTGGTGGGCCACCTATGGGATGCCCCGAGTGAGGTCCTGGACCCCCAGTTGGATTGTGAGGCCAATCAGAAGATCTGGAGGAGCTGTGGCTGAATGCGTCAGAGGCAAGGTTACTAAAACCTAGTCTCTCGCTTTCGGACTTGAAAGCTTTCATTTGTGTTGCTCGACGCTCCAGCAGGCTCTGGATTCGTTCCGTAGATTCTTTCTGAAACGTCAGTACCTCTTCTTCTATCTGTTGTGGTTTGGGGTGGGGGACGCAAAAAGAAAGCTCATTTACTTAAAAAAATCTATAAACTACAGAAGCAATAATTATTGTGGTTTAAGGTGAATCATAAAATGTCCACTCAGGCTATTTTAAAGGATGTACATTTAAAAATCAAAGAGATGTACTGTAGGAATCATATATAAGTTATATTGCTAAAATGTATAAAATCAAGTTCTTAAAAGCAAAGATAATAAACCTCTATTAAAATAATAAATCAAGGCAATTATCATCAATGGCTACTAAATCCATTAGGTAAAAAGAATGAAAAAGAAAATGTGTAAGGAGAATCTAGCCTTATTAGACATACCATAATGTCACTCTAATAAAATAAATATGGTATTGGTGTAGGAACCAGCAATTAGTAAAACAGAAACAGAATGAAGTTTGTAAGTTTTTAATGCAGGACAAAAGTACTAATTAATTTAATGGGAAAAACAACACAGGCACAAGTGGCCAACCATCTGGAAGAAAATAAAAATGGAACCTCATCTGATACCATATTCCACACAGATCAGAGCATTAAGTGATTAAGAGTGTAAGTGAAGGCACTGAACAAACAAAAACTATAAAGTTTCCATTAGAAAGTTAGGACACTCTGTGTACTTAGAAATTAGTGGGTTGCCATCACAAACAGTTCTGGACAACTCACAGGCTAACAAATACATATGGCTGACTATAAATTCTTCTAATATGAAAAAATACATAATAAAGTCAATGACAATGGAAAGAAGTTGATGGAGAACTTGTTAATGAATGAGAATACCTGAACCCACTCACCAAATATCACTTCAAAGTGGGACTAGACATTATTTATCTTTTGATGTGATGCAAAGAAGTGTAACACAGTAACCCTTATGAAAATTCCTCACAAAAATTTTTAAAAGAAAAATTTTTTTTAGATATAATCATGCCCCTAGATCTAATTACCAGTTTACAGGAAATATAAAGTAAAGAGCAATGCATTAAATGACACCATGAGGTTGGAATCAGCCAAATCCAAAGGTGAGAATTCCTACAAAGCAAATGACCCAGTCCACAATAATACAAGAAAGGGCAGGGGAGACCAAACGGCTTAAAAGACAATCAAATGCAATGTCTAGACCGTGTTTGGGCCCCAGTCTAAATAAACCAAGAAGACATTTTTTAGATACAAAGGGAAATTTAAGTATGGACTGAGTATTAGGTAATCTTAAACATTTATTATAATTTTGTTAGTTAACACAATGGAATTATGACTATGTTAAAGTAAAAGAGCCCTTATTTCTTATCTGTGTTTAGAGTGAAATGATTCTATGCTGGGATTTGCTTTAAAATATTCCAGATACTCTGCCCCATATTCTGCTCCCCTAAAAAGCTGCATGTGGAGTGGGGAAACAGATGAAATATTAGCAAGATACTGGTAACTGTTGAAGTGGGTAATGAGTATTTGGGGACTTCATTGTACTAATTCTTAATAATATCACTAATATTTTTGTGTATGTTTGAAAATTTCCATGACCCAAAGTTTTTTAAAAATAGGAAATAAAGAGTATTTGTAAATAAATATTCAAGTAGGTTTCAAGATATTTGAGGACTTAAACCAATAGTCATTGTTCTCTACAGAAATCTAGCTCAACAGGTATGTTTCATTTTTATGTATTTTTTTTACTGTTATCATTGATATACAATCTTATGAAGGTTTCACATGAGCAACATTGTGGTTACAAAATTCACCCATATTATCAAGTCCCCTCTTATATGTCATTTTTTAAAGTGCCCTTTATAAAAAACACAGTTGAGCATGGAAACACATGCAAATTCAAAACTACCACGTCATATGATCAGATGTAATAACAGATTTATAAGGTGAAGCAGAAATACAAAGGGATGGAGTAACTCACTCTATAGGGGAAGAAGAGTAGGGCAAAGAAGTCTTCTCAGAGAGGGTGACAGAGACTGGATTCTGAAGGAACAGCACAAGTTTACCAGAAGACAAGGGAAGGGAAAGATATTTTCAGCAGAGGGAACATGGGCAAAGGCATGCAAAATAATAAAATGTGTGTGGGGAATTACAAATAGGACTTTGGTAGGGTGAATTTGAAAATTATTAAACTCTACCCCAGTACTAAAGTGTTACAAAGGTTTAAAGAGGGCATTTCATAATGAAGGTTGAAAGAGAACTTAGATTAGACACAATGCTTCTTTTAAGGGAAAGGTATTAAATGGTTAACTGTGGTGACTTCTGAGTGGTGGGATTAAAGACATTTTAATTTCTATTTGTTTCTCTATAATTGCCAAATTGTAAAATAACTTTTCTACTCTTTAAATATCTACATATAAAGTACCCAATTCATATATAATTAAATTTATATATCTGTAAGGATTTAAATAACTTCAAATTTTTCTTTTAAATCTTTTTCTATTTTAAAATTTCAAAAATCCATTTATTAAGAATGTTTAATTCAAAGGACCTAATAAATGATAGGCTTGTACTGAGGATTTAACTGATTCGAATGCCTTGTATATTATTTGAAGGAAACTCATGATAAAAATGTTAAACACATTAATGCTTATCCACTTTTATCCAGTAAGCACAGCTTCAATTTTGTTTGCTGAATTAGTTTTGTCATTTAAGAAACTCAGAATATTTTTCAATAAAAATTAAAACTAAGATTTGTGATAGGTTATATTAACCCCCATTTCTTTAAAAATATCTTACTTATTACTGTAAAGAAGAAGGGTGGTTGCACTGAATATAAGACTTCTGAGACTTCTCTCCTAACTTATCTTTTCTGAAATCAAACGTGATCTTTTTGTGTGAATACTTTCAGTTCAAAATGTTCTATAAGATATTCCAATTGTCAATTCTTATTTAAAAACTACCAACCATGTTGTTGATACTAAGTGAAATATTCAGGAAAAATTAAAGGAAATGATAAAACAAAGAAAAGCCCATTTATACTTTGGAAATACTGCCACTTTTTATGCATGTATGAAATTCACATAGAATTTTAACATTTATAGTTATGTTGTCATTTTGCTGAAATTTAATGTAAATGAAGCACAAGAAAAGTTGCAGTAAGACCTCATGTGAGCCTCAACTGAGGCTTACTCTGTTGGTGACCTGGAGGACAATTCTTGGTTCATTTGGAGGCTGAAAGCAATCTTCAAACAGAATTATTATTCATCTAGAAACAACTAACATTCTCTCTGGTTCCACCTCTATTTTCAGATGACTGTTTCTTATCTGTGCAACCAGTAAGCACAAAGTACAGAAAATATAGATGTTACGATGTTTACAAATCATACCATGGGTGTATCACGGCCTTGGCAGTAGCCAACTGACTGACCCCAAACTGCTTTATAGTCATGCACTTCACTTGAAATGTAAACATGAGCCCTAAAAATCAAGTAGCAACTCAAAGCACTGTAGATTTATTCCACTGTTTCTTTTATTATTTTTAATACTAAATGACCTTATGCATGTCCATTATCAAAATAATGTAAACCATCACAACCAATCTACCATATTAATATAGCCACTATAAGCATTAGTTCAATTCACTTTAAGTGTGATTTGTCTTTATTTTATTCAACACCTCATAAGCATTTTTCCCCATTATTACTGTCTTGATAGCCATCATTTAAATGGTTGAGTAAGATTTTAAGTGGCTTGGTCATGAGCACTTAATTATTTTAGATGGTTAGGTGTTTTAAACCATTATAAATGATGCCATAATTAACATATTTATGCATATTGCTTTTATTGTATTCAGGATTTCTTTTCTCTAAATACTTTGCTTAACATTTTCAAAGATCAATATATACTTCCAAATTGCTTTCCAAAATGCACTAACAATGTATGAGAGTTCCACTGCACTTCTGGCAATGCTATCAACCCTATGCCAACATTTTACCTGGTTTTGTAGAACATAAAGGCCTTAGTTCATATATTGAAATAAAACTACACCTAAGATACTTATTAGCACTCTTTAACTGAGCCACTAGGTGGAGCTAAAAATACAAATGAAACTACCAATATTTCTCTCATAACACTGTTACTGAAATAGTATAGGTTTTTCTTTTAGTGATAATTTTGGAGCAAAAGAGATGGAACTTTAGATTAAACTTTAAATATGCAAGTTGAAATCAGACAGATTTATGAATTCTGTACATGGGACAACTACATTTTTCTAAAAATTTATGTGTTTCAATCTGCCCATCTTGAATGAGAAACATAATTGAGATAATTTTTAGAGGCAAGTAACTGTCAAAGGAGCCAGTAATAAAGACAGCTGAGCCAGCGAAATAGCAACACCTTAAGACCATATTTTTTAAATATGAATGAGGTATTCTATTTTTATCACAAGAACTGTAGAAAATAGAGGAAAATCTATGGGCCAATTAATAGTCCAGAAGCAATGACAATTTCTAATAGACAAAACCCTTAGGCACATGGTAACTTACAATGGACCAATGCACCTAAGACCATACCAGCTGCTGAGAACTTATGGCTCAGGAATTCTGGAACATAACATTCAATCCTGGATACAACTGATATTCTACTACTACTCAAAACAAATGTCTTTCCTCTCTTTCTCCAAATCTTCTACCCATTATTCTTTCTCCAAACACACACAGACATATAGCCTCAGTACCTTAAAGGATACAAGTGAATTTAGGGATTCTTGTTCTAATGTATATGACAGAATAAGTAAAAAGAATAAAGATACATTTAGAAATAATATTTTCAGCCTAACTCTTCATCTGTGTAAAACTGGTTTTACCTTCTGTTTTCTAGTAATCTACCAATCTGTACAGTTCCAGACCAAGGATGAATGAATAAAGTATATTCCTGATCCTTCTTCCTTGTCTCTCCCAAGCAATTACTAAAGTTTTTTCCTTCACTATCCAACTTTTTCTCTAATTTCTTTAGGTACAAGTAGGTACCCAAAAGAAGAGAGCAATCCTTCCACAATTCAACTGTC